CGTACTTCCTTCTCCAACAGTGCCCCCACCCGGTGCCCTTCCCCACCCCCGCTGTGAGCTCCCCTGACAGTGCCCCCCACTGTGAGCTTCCTTCTCCAACAGTGCCCCCACCCGGTGCCCTTCCCCACCCCCGCTGTGAGCTCCCCTGACAGTGCCCCCCACTGTGAGCTTCCTTCTCCAACAGTGCCCCCATGCTGTGACCTTCCCCACCCCGACTGTGAGCTTCCCTGACAGTGCCCCCACGCTGCGACCTTCCTTCTCCAACAGTACCCCCACTGCAACCTTCCCCACCCCCACTGTGAGCTTCCCTAACAGTGCCCCCATGCTGCGTACTTCCTTCTCCAACAGTGCCCCCACACTGTGACCTTCCCCACCCCCGCTGTGAGCTCCCCTGACAGTGCCCCCCACTGTGAGCTTCCTTCTCCAACAGTGCCCCCTGCTGTGAGCTTCCCTGACAGTGTCCCCCACTGTGAGCTTACCCACCCCAACTGCGAGCTACACTGACAGTGCCCCCACGCTGCGAGCTTCCTCCTCCAACAGTGCCCACACGCTGCGAACTTCCCCCACCCCTGCTGCGAGCTTCCCTGACAGTGCCCCCACGCTGCAAGCTTCCCTGCCCCCGCTGCGAGCTACACTGATAGTGCCCCCATGCTGCGACCTGCCCCCTGACAGTATCTACACACAATGGGGACGTTTGCCCCCAGAGCTGGGGATCGAACCCGGGAGTCCAGGCCTGGTGCTCCCCTGTGAGTCTCATTGGCATCCTCATTAATAATTAGCCAAAGGTTAATAACCAATGAGCCAAACCATTAATTATGTGACCTCTGACCCTGACTTTGCCCTGCCCCCTCCCCCACTCACAGGGGATGTGAAGGGGGCAGAGAAGGGACCCAGGCATTCAGGGATCCTGGTCAGAGAACCAAGGAATGGCCAGGCTGGGTCAAAGCAATGGCCCAGCCAGCCCCAGCTCCTGGCTGCCGACAGACCAGGACAATTATCCCATGATCCACCCTGAGCTTTGGGGCCACCTGGCACAGGGGGCTGTGTCCCTGACCAGCTTGGCTAATAACCATTGCTGGACCCGGCCTCCAGGAACGTGGCTCATTGTGTGTCAAACCCCCTTCTACTTCTGGCCTCAGCCCATTCCCTGGCAGTGAGTTCCACAGGTTAACAGGAAACCTGCCTGCTGGAAACCTGCTGCATGAGCCTTCGGGTTCAGGTGCCCCAGTCACTGTCTCCGCCCCCGGCAGGAGTTTACAGCCCTCTGCACACTGGATCCACACGCCAGGACCCAGGCGTCCGGGTTCTGAGCCCAGGCTGAGACTGGCCAGAACTCACTTCATCGGGGGGGAGGGGAGGGAGAGTCCGCCAATTGACTCTTCTAGGCTCCCGTGGAGGCACTTTCAAGATGGCGTCAACAGCAGGGTCGGGAATGAGCCAATATGGCCGCGCCCAATGGGCGCCTTCCCCATAGCCGGTTCCAAGATGGCGGTGCCCTTTAATTTCCTTTAGCAAGATGGCGACGGTCATAAATGTCTTTCCTCAGTGCCTGCTGGGATAATTTCCGGTCCCAACATGGCGGCCACTACAATTTCCTTCACCAATATGGCGGCCCTCGTGAATCCCTTCCCCGAAATGACTGCGCCTATCACTGCCTATAAAAAAATGTCTAAATCAAGATGGCTGAGCCCATTAAAACAAACTAGTTATCAAATTCCATCAAAGATGCTGGCGCCCTTAAATTCCTTCCCAAATATAGCGACATCATTTAGTTACGTAACCAAGATGGCGCCGCCCGTATTTTCCTCACCAATATGGCGGCTCACGGCCTTTGTCTATTCAAGATGGCGGCCCCCATGAATTCCATGCTCAATGTGGCTGATACACAACATTTGACCGGAAGATGGCGCCCTCCTGCGAGTTCGTGCCAAGATGGTCCGCAGACCTCCCTTTCCGTACAACGTGGCAGCTTCCTTAGCACGTGTATCCAATATGGCGGCGCCTATATTTCTTCAAATCAACATGGCGGCTCCCACTCCAAAATACGGGTCACGTCAGCAATATGGCAGGGGCTACGATTCCTATTCTGAACATGGCGCCCCCCACTGGGCGCTCCCATTTCCAACATGGCGGCGCCTGTATCCTCCCTGCCGTAAAGACTTTGTAAATTGCTCCCACATGGTCCCAACGCTACTTCCTGTCCCATTTCCCAAAATGGCAGCGCCCCTGGGCCTGAGGCTGGGTAGGGGAATGGGGGAGATCTAGCATGGGGGCGGGGTCAGATCAAGGGAGTGGGGGGAGTTCCCAGGTTGGCAATTGGGGGGCGCCCCCCAAATCTCACTGATCCCCTCTTTCCCCCCCAGCGCCTCGCCTGGCCGCAGCCCCCCGGCACATTCACTGCGGAGCCGCCCGCCCGGCCGTGGGGCAATGGAGAGTCCAGTGAGTGGGGCTGTGGGCGGGAGTGAGGGGCACCGGCAGGGCTGGGGGGCAGGGCTGGGCTAGCAGGGGCTGTGGGCAGGAGTGAGGGGCACCGGCAGGGCTGGGGGGTCAGGGCTGGGCTAGCAGGGGCTGTGGGTCGGGAGTGAGGGGCACCGGCAGGGCTGGGGGGTCAGGGCTGGGCTAGCAGGGGCTGTGGGTCGGGAGTGAGGGGCACCGGCAGGGCTGGGGGGCAGGGCTGGGCTGGCAGTGGGCTGTGTGTTGGGAGTGAGGGGCACCGGCAGGACTGGGGGGCAGGGCTGGGCTAGGAGGGGGCTGTGGGTCGAGAGTGAGGGGCACCGGCAGGACTGGGGGGCAGGGCTGGGCTGGCAGGGGGCTGTGGGTCGGGAGTGAGGGGCACCGGCAGGACTGGCGGGGCAGGGGGCTGCAGGTTGGGAGTGAGGGGCACCAGAAAGAGGGGGGGCTCCAGGCTCGTTGTGACCCCCTTTCCTTTCACCCCAGGCAGGGACTTGCCCCCAGCTCGGCCGGCTACGGGCCCCTCCGGGATCTGCCTGACTGGTCCTTTGTAGGTGAGAATCTTCCTCTGTCACTATCATGCGTGCTCGGACGCCTCGGTTCTCTCCTGGAGGTGGGAGGGGCGGGGGCTGGGAGCCCGGACTCCTGGGTTCCATGATGGGGCAATGGGGTTCACTGACTTCTCGGGTCTCCCCAGACGGGCGCCCCGCCCCCCCGTGGAAGGGCCAGACGCGTCGGCGACAGGAAGATGAGGCCTTTGCGGTGAGTGGGGGACTGGGGGGTTCCAGGGGCTGGGAGCCAGGACTCCTGGGTTCTCCCCAGCTCTGGGAGTGGGGGCTGGTGATTACCAGAGGGGTGCTGGGATCCCCCGCGTTGCTCTCGGGCTGGGGGGGGTTCCAGGGCTGGGAGCCAGGGCTCCTGGGTTCTCCCCAGCTCTGGGAGTGGGGACTGGTGATTAGCACAGGGGCGCTGGGATCCCCGTGTTGCTCTCGGGCTGGGGGGGTTCCAGGGCCTTGGAGCCAGGACTCCTGGGTTCTCCCCAGCTCTGGGAGTGGAGGCTGGTGATTACCAGAGGGGCGCTGGGATCCCCCGCGTTGCCTTCGGCCGGGGGGTTCCAGGGCTGGGAGCCAGGACTCCTGGGTTCTCTGGGCTCCCCGCTCACCCCGTCTCTCTCCCCAGCGCCGCGTGGCCATGCTGGCCCAGGAGATGGAGCGAGGCCTGCAGCGCTGGCAGGTCCAGCAGCGCCAGCAGCAGGAGGCCAAGGAGAGCAAGAGACAGACCCAGCTGCAGCCCAAGGGGGCTGCCCTGCGTCGGCGCAGCAGCCCCCAATAAATTCTTGCGCCCCCAGCAACCACAACTGGCCAGGACGCCTGGTTTCTCTGCTGGCTTGGGGGGGGGGAGAGTGCAGGCTAGTGGTTAGAGCAGGGCAGCGGCGGCTGGGACCCTGGGTGGAAAGCCTGAGCTCATCAGGTAACAGCCTCGTCCTTACCCACCCCCCCGAGCCCACACGGCAGGATGTGAGTTCACAATCCGGAGGAAGCAAGAGAGACTTAAGAATCAGATTCCTTCCGCCCCGCCCTGCCAGTGCCCCTCACTTCCGACCCACAGCCCCTGCCAGCCCTGCCCCCCACCCCGACCTGCCGGTGCCCCTCACTCCCAACCCGCAGCCCCTGCCAGCCCAGCCCTGCCCCCCGAGCCCTGCCGGTGCCCTTCACTCCTGACCC